TACGTACTATATTACAAGATTTTCTATTGTTACCTATTTTCGTACTATTACACTCCCCTATCTACTTCCTGCAGCAATCTTATAATTCTCCCAAATTGGTTCATTCCGGCGGTTTGTCGCTCTTCTTGCTCCCATATTGGTGTATACAGCCTTCCCTATATATTGATACCTTACGGCACGACTAGATTTATCAAATCTCCGGTTGTTATCTGCAGTATACCACCTACTTTATACAATGCTCTCATAGTTGGTATGATTGACTGTAGCATGGACGCCAAAGCTTCCCATTATAACTTATGTTATATGGGTGTACTACTGACGATCGTTTTATTTCTAGCTTGGTGATACAAGGGCACCTGGAACCTTGACTTATAACGCATTATTATAGCACCTATCAACGACATTGTGATATGCAGTGTTTTCCTTATTAGTTTTCCAATTTCCAATCTTGTATGTCAGAGGTGTTCCTTTATTTGGTAAAGCCATCCTCTTACTACAGCCCTTTGCTGTATTCACCGCTTCTCTCACCACTTCCAGATATACTACATTTAGTCATCCTCCTAATCAAGATCCCCAAGACCGCCTTAGGGTTGTTGGTGCTACCTAGCCAATTAAGGATTTACATGCACAGCCTTATACGGTATTACTTTCTGTAACGCCATGTCACACATAGTGTCCAGTCTTCTCTACGGCTTGGGACTCCTTCCAAGAATTCTTTATAGGCCAAATAAGTACTTCACATAGTCTTATCATCACAGGGTTTCGCATTCGAAAGCTCCTGTAAGTTACAGAGATAATTAATTAAATTAATTACCACCAGCTATAATCGAACCATTGATCTCGTCTGTGGAGGATTAGGCGCCTAGACCACTAGGTTATGGGACCCTAACCCTGATACATATTTTACTTTATTATACTTAACAAAACTTACAAAATTTCAATTGATTTATTTATTGTATATATATATACTTGAGTTTCTATAGAATTTTGTTACAAATATTTAAGTTCAGCAGATATCGGCTAGCCAGTATCGCTTTATTTTTTATTATATCTATCTTTTATAAGCTATATGTATTATATACATTCGATTTGCATTACAAATTTCTGCTTATACTAATTACATAGCATATTTACAATTTTCCTAATACTAATCACATGCAATTACTAAAAAATCAAATTTCCAGATTATCGTAATCTTCGTCTTCGTCTCTGATATAATTGAAGTTACCAGTAAGAACATTCAGACGACCTCTTCTCTTGGAGGAACCTTTGGAAGAACCTTTTGAAGAACCTTTTGAAGAATCTTTGGAAGAGATAGAACTTTTGGAAGAGCTTTTAGAATCTTTATTTTTTTGGCGATTACTTTTCGATATTGTAGAGTTAGACGTGTTAGATATAGATTTCAGCATAGTAGAGTTGGACGTAAATTTAGGTGTAGAGTTAGGCATAGAAGAGTTAAACGTGGAGTTAGATGTGGAGTTAGGTATAGAGTTAGGCGTAGAGTTAAACGTGAAGTTAGATGTGAAGTTAGACATGGAGTTAGACATGCCAGAATTGTTTGTTTCAGGGTTATTGGTTCTGAAATAATAAAAAATTAATAAATATATTACAAATCTTATAAGTATACTTTAAATACGTATGGTTGTTCAGTTCTAAGATTACCACGATCGGATTCAGAAACATCATTGAAGCTAAAAAAAATGCCAAATTAATAAAATTTATAAAACTTTTAACCATTTTTTTTTAAATACTTACGTCGGCATGGTATTATTATTATTATTATTATTATGCCCAGAATTATCATTATCATCAGGCACAATTTCATTATTTGATTCATTGCCGTTAGACACCAAACCATCATTAGACACCAAACCATCCGATTTGGGATCGTTAATTTCATTTGATTCCGAATTATTATTGTTGAGCCGCACCAAAGAAATATTTCTTTGGTTATTATAGTTGTAGGATGAAGAAATTGTCCAATGGGGAGCATCAAGTGGTGGTTTTGTATTGTTTTTCCAGCTATTTTCTCGATGTCGGTACCTCTGCATTTTATGAATTTGGTTTGTTAAAGCTATGTCTTTAGTCTTATGGAAGAGCTTTTTGCACTATTTAAAAAAAAAAAGTAGAATTAGTCTAATATAAGTATTATCAAAAAGAAATAAATTCAAAATGAAATTTTAAAAAAAAGTAGAATTATTCCGATACGAGTATTATCAAAAAGAAATAAATTCAAAATGAAATTTAAAAAAAAGGTAGAATTAGTCTGATACGAGTATTATCAAAAAGAAATGAATTCAAAACAAAATATAAAAATTACCCTTTCGGATCTCTACACCGGAGCATAGACCTTAATTACATGATTATTATCTACCTCCCCATCTTCTTTACTTGGATGTTTATTATCATTCAGTTTTTTTCTTACAAGTTCAATATCCATTTCGGATAGTTCATCAGAATGATAAACAATTGCAACAACTATTTCGGTGAGGTTTTGTTTCCAAGCTTTTTTGCTTACGGAGCTTGGGCGATACTTTTCAATGGCAGGGTCTTTAACCCGAATCATATGCTACAACCCATCTATTCTTCTTTTTTTTTTCTAAAAAAATAAAAATGCAAGAAAGCAAGTAGGTGTATATGAAATTATAATTTATACAGTAAAAAAAAAATTAACAAAATAAAATTAAAAAATTTTACATCTTACATTTGAGAGTTTTTTTCAGTTCTTCTCCTATTTGCTCTCAACTTTCCTTCATCTGCTTTAATTTTTGTGGTCGTCGAAACACTCTTATGGTTGCTTTGAAGCACTAAAACAACTTCTTTGTCAAGATATTCTAGGCTTTTATTAATATATTTTTTGATAGTAGGGAGGATGGTAAGTTCAACAAAATTTTTTTGGTCTTGCTATTCTTTTTTTTCATCTAATTTCAAATCAGGACTGTCATTTGCCAATTGTTTTGCAGCCCAGAGCACTTCTTTCTATAATTATAATATAATATAATCTGATATTCCTATTGTTAGTATTATAATCTGATATTTCTATTGTTAGTATTATAATATAATATAATCTGATATTCCTATTGTTAGTATTATAAGTAAATCACTAAAAACAGCAAGTATATACTTTAAAAGCTGCTTTATATTCCAGATCCATTGGAATTAATTGCCTTTTCCTAAACCTTGTTTCATTTGAATCATGGGTTTTCCAGGAGAAAACAACCTTTTTCGAACGGCTTTATCATTGATGCAGAATTCTTCTAAATTATTTACAACAGCTGACGATTGTGAATATAGTAAGTCCAAGATATTTGAGTGTGCTCTTTCTAGCCAAAGCAACCTTTGCTCAAGTCGAGATATTTGAGATTTCAAAGCTGAATTCTCTATAATAACATTATTTTTATTAGCCAATATTCGTATTAGACAAAAAAAAAATTAATATAAATAAATTACTTAACCTTCTTCCAAAGCGCTTCTATTGTTAACTTTTTGATATTTCCTTTTAACACCTAAATATTATATTAGTTATATGGTGTTGCAGATATTACTATTGGTTATTTACTAAATAATATACCTTCAACCGATCTACTACGATCACGTGAATTTCGGCGCGAATATGAACTAGACCGAGAATAAAAGCGAGAGTGAGAATGAGAGTGAGAACGACAAGAGTGAGAGCGAGAACAACAAGTTCAAGAGCGAGAACGACAAGTTTGAGATCAAGAACGATGAGTTCAAGAATGAGAACGACGAGTTCAAGAGTGAGAACGACAAGTTCGAGAGCGAGAACGACAAGTTCGAGAGCGAGAACGATGAGTTCGAGAACGATGTGACTGAGATTGACAAGTGCGAGACCAATAGATGCGAGATCGATGAGCATGAGAGCGAGAACAAGAACGAGAAAGTGAATAATCGCTTGAATCAGAAGATGAAGAGGAACAATTCCTTTTTTGTGGAATCATTTCACGGAATCGTAATCTTAAAGAAGATTTAAAACGAAAGGAAGTTGATTTGCGTGTCATAGTATGGATATCAGACAAAAAAAAAAACTAAAAATGCTTCTAAAATTCCAAAACTAAAAAAAAAAACTAATGTGAATAAATAAATATTATATAATCGAAACGTCTCTTATTTTTAAAAAAATAATACCTGTATCGGAAATGCTATCAAGCTAGAAACCAGATATTTCGATATTTTCTAAGAATTCAAAAAGAGCAAAGCGAATTAAAAGAGATATTTACCTATATTAAGAAAAAAAATTAGAAAATCCGATATCCCTATATCCTTTCAAATAGGAATCAAAAAAAATCATAAATATTGAAAGAAGTTATTATCTATGTTGGAAACGTTGGTAAAAGATCAAAAAAAAAAAGAATAGAGAGTGAAAAAAAAAGTTGTAAGCAAGAAAGGAATATCTACTTTATGTAAACACAAAAAAAGAAAAAAAAAAGAAAGGTAATATGTAGAAATGAAAAGGTGTTGCGCAAAAATAATTTTACGTATAGAAATGATTTCAGCGAAAAAAAAGTTGTAAAGGAAAAAAGAATATCTACTTTATGTAAATGAAGAAAAGAAAAAAAAAGGTAATGTGGAAAAACAAAAAGGTGTTGCACGAAAGAATATTTTACATATAGAAATGATTTCAGTGAAAAAAAAAGTTGTAAAGGAGAAAGGAATATCTACTTTATATAAATGAAGAAAAGAAAAAAAAAGGTAATGTGGAAAAACAAAAGGTGTTGCGCGAAAGAATATTTTACATATAGAAATGATTTCAGTGAAAAAATAAGTTGTAAAGGAGAAAGGAATATCTACTTTATGTAAACGAAGAAAAGAAAAAAAAAGGTAATGTGGAAAAAACAAAAAATTGTTGCGCAAAAGAATATTTACTTATAGAAGTGATTTCAGCGAAAAAATTAGGAAAAAAAGGTAATGGAAAGAAATGGAAGTCTAGATGAAAGACTTTTATTTAAACAATACTGGTAAGAAGAAATCAGTTACTTTTATATTCCTTTAGAAATTATTATTAAAATGTAATCATCTTTAATGATCATTATATTCGTGTTTTATATGTAATTAAAAAATAGAACTGGTCGTTGTTATTAAATTCATTATTTATATACAATTACATGATTCTAACTTAAATGACATTATTTTTTATTTGGTATAATGCTGCAAAAAAAAAAAAAAACTTCGGGCTTTCAAAATTATAACTTACGGACTAATTCTTAAAAAAACATGATAGATTGAGACCGGTAAGTTATAAATTTAAAAGCCCGAAGTTTGATTTCTTTAATTGTACTAGTTGTACTCATTTGGCTCTTTTATATCTTATTTAAATATACAATTTATATATATAATTTTATATATCTATTTGTATCTTCTTCCGATACCCATTATATCTAATATTTTTTATGATTAGTGAAATATATTACTTCAACTATATATGTGATCGATCTTGTTATACGTAGATCGGTATACATATCAGATATATATAATATTCGATAGTAGTATAATATATAGAATTTCGAGATTGAGTATTATTTTATATTTCATTTAATTAATTAATAAATAATATATACACTTTATTTATCGATACACTTATAAATATATTAGAATTTTAACAGTGATAAGTAAAAATTATAAAGCAATATAAAATTGTCACTTTTGTTTTGATATAATTGAATATGCAGTATAAATATAAAAAAAAAAGTTTTTAATTTCATTATTTTCAGTATTCAAAAATTGAAAAATTAACTTCTATTAAAACAAAATAAACTGTTAAATTCATTATTATTCTTCTAATACACATATTGAATAGTATTCGAAAATGACAAATTTATTAAAATAAACTTCAAACAAAACAAAATAAACTTTTGCCTTCTGATACGCATATTGATTAGTATTCAAAAAATAAAAAATTAACTTCTATCAAAACAAAATAAACTTCTAAATTCATTATCATTCTTCTGATACGCATATTGAATAGTATTCGAAAATGACAAATTTATTAAAATAAACTTCTAAATTTATTTTGTCAATCTTCTGATACACGTATTGATAGTATTTAAAGACAGAAAAATTTATTAACAAAATATTATAAATTTATTTATCAATTTGTTCTTTTATGCGTATTGAATATCAGTGAACAGAAAATCAAAGTAAGCCACCAGATAAAACTGTTATTAGGCAAGCAAGCTGATATTGCCATTTAATTTATTTATTTGATCGAGAATTTTAAGATTAGACTAAGAAATTGAATTTCAAAAGAATTCAATTTTTTAGTCTGATCTTAAAACCCTTGACTAAATGAACCAGTTATCAAGCAGTGCCTGCCTGATAACTATTAAGTATTTAATCTGTCTATTAAAATTATAACAAAACAAAGTAAACTTTTAATTAGTTCTGTCATCACTCTTTATTTTGATACGCATATTGAAATATTAACATTTGTATTAAAAGTCTAAACTATTAAGCTTAATAAAACTAAATATAAATAGGTTGTAAAATTGTTATTTAT